CACACACACACACACAGTGACCCCCCCACACTTCATCAATGGGCTGAATGGCAGATGGGCGGTCCCAGGAGGAGAGGAGGGGGGCATCACCACGGCGACAAAGACTTTGTGGTGAAAGGAATGAAAGGGGGATGGAAAGAAAACTTGGCACCGGAGTGATACCTGGACTACACACACACACACACACACACACACTCGTGTGCATGCTTCATTCCTGTGAGTCTGTGTCAGGTCAGTACTGCCTGCTTAGTGTATCAGAGAGGAAACTTCAGCACTCTGTGGTTGGTGTTGTGCAGAATTTGGTGGCGTGACTAAAGCATCCGAACAAACTTCACTGGTGAAAGTTTAAACATCGGTCTGAAACACGTGCCTGCCGACCGGCCGAGCCCACCACTGAGTGAGCGGCGGATCGGATCCCCACAGGCTGATGCTTTCACCCACAGAGCAGACGTGTCAGGACAGGACAGGAAGTGAGGCTTGAAAAGACTTCCACACAATGAAAAATAATCTTCTTGTCATCGCAATTTCAATTTTTGTTTTTCCCCCAAATAGAAATCTTCTATTTCTATGTTGCATTTCAACAGAGAGGCTGTTTCTCTCCTTTAGTTTAGTTCAACTTTGCAGCAAACCGAGCGAGTAAAAATGTGTCGGTCAGATCAATTGGATTCTTGATTTTTCAGTTGTCACAGGACTTGTCAGAGTTGGAGTCCAGAATAAGTTGCTGCCCCACGTGGAGGAGTTTAAGTATCTCAGGGTCTTGTTCATGAGTGAGAGACTGACAGACTAGATTGGGGTGGTGTCTGTAGTGATGTGGACGCTGTACCGATCTGTTGTGGAGAAGAGGGTAAAAGCAAAGCTGTCGATTTACCGGTCGATCTCCGCTAAATCTTTTCTGAAAGAAAACCGAAAGTGCGCCGGAGTTCACACCGTGTCGCTCTCGGTTATGATGCGAACAACGGTCGAAGAAACTTTTGTGGTTGGTGCTTTTGTTTTTACAGGACGTCTGAGGGACAACTTCAACTGTTTCATGACTGAACTTCAAGAATCTGCACATTATAAAAATATCAGCATGACATAAAAACACACAAACAAACCTACAAGACAGAGTCATGTGGACAAAGACCATCGCCCCCCCTCACACCCCTTTACAAAGAGTCCAGTACACAAAGCAATATTGACACTCTCTCCCCCCCCCTCTTCATCCTCCTGGCCTCAATACAAGCTGTCAGTTTCACTGCAGGGAGACGATATGAGGAGGAGGAGGAGAGACACGACGAACCAGCTGCTCCGATCCACATTCAGCTGTTTTACATGCAGCTAAAATTAGATTTCTGAAGATGGATTCGAAGCTGCTCGGACAGAGCTGACAGGCTTCTCAGATGGTTTAAACCGAGAGACAGTAAAACATGAAAAATCAGAGCACAGCTGGAGCTATAATCAGAAAGAGCTGAAAGTACTGTTCACAACACTGAAATTCACTTTAACTAATCTCACAAAGCACCAGATTAAATATAGATTGACACATTTAGATGACTGTGAGGCTCAAACTGCCATTAAAAACCTCAGTGACTGTACCTGATCTAAGAAGCCGTAGAGCCGGACGGCCCGCTCGATGTTCTGCCCGGTACTGCTGACCCGCTGAGTGAAATCCTGCAGCTGAGCCCAGAAGGAGTGAACTTTGTCCTCGTAAATGTGGAGGTCAGCGGACGGCACGTCGTCCCGGCGCTCCAGCCGAGACAGCAGCTCCTTCCCTCGTTTACACTGGTCCTGCACACAGAAGAAACAGACCTCATCCTCTGTGGGGACCAGTCCTCAGTATGGGCTAAAAGACATGTTTGAACGAGAGAGAGTGTGTGTGTGTGTGTGTCGTACGTATGCCGTTGTGCAGAAGTCCTTGTAGTCCTGCTGTTTTTCATTCAGAAGCACCAGAGAGTCTGCCGGCTCTTCCAGACTCTTCAGACGAACTTCACCAACCTCCTGTAGCCACGTCTTCACCTGACACACACACACGAATAACAAGCACATAGACTGTAAGGTAAACTTCACATTAACATGTGATCCAGAGGATCAAACCTCCCACCCTGCCAGGTGAGATGCGAGGCATGTCCCTTTTTTTATGGTTACGAAGTCAAAGAACGACAGAAAAACAAAAAATAAGGCTAAGAAAGGAAAACGAGAACCAATCAATGCTGCAGCTCTCTCAGCTCGTCTATGCCTGAGGGCCAAATGTCTGACACTTCATCCACACCCACAAGCAGCAAATCGCTCACATATGGATCTACTTTAACCTGAATTACCCATTTATGAAATCCATAGATCATCTAATGTTTATTTATTTTCCTAATCATTCATTGGTGAGTGTGCTCAGGAGGGAAGTGTTTCATCCTGTCAAAGCTTCAGAAGACAAACTCATTCCAGTTTAACTCCAAACACATAATTGGTGTTTTTCTGTTGATGGTTACTGATCTGATATTAATCTGATGTTATCAGGTAATAATTCGATTGCTTACAGCTTAGAGCGCATATTTCCAAACATGCCTTGTTTCACCAAAAAAAAATGTATTAAGTTAAAACCACCTTTTTCCTCCTACTGACAAGATACAAGACACCAGAGTTCAGGTTAAAAAAAGAAAAACATCTGAAAATTATATTTTTAATGTATTTATTGTGCATTACTTCTTTTGGCCCACTTGCAGTACCTTCACAGCACACCAGGGGGCTGCTGTCCACACTTTGATCACTGGCTAACAGCGTAACCAAGGAAACAAAGGAGGTGGAAGTGTCTCAGTGTCACTGAGAATCACGGTTCATCATGAAGTCAACTCCTCACATTAAGACGACACTGATGTAAATGTCAGTATGGACGATGCATACTGAGCGTGCTCAGACTGACCTTGCTGAAACCTTGCTCCAGGTTCCTGAAGTCTGCGATGAAGTTCAGCTCCTGCGTTTTGGAGTTGGACAGCATCACCAGGCGGTGGAGCAGCTCGTCCACCTGCTCGTACAGAGCCGACACCGACTCCACCGCCGCCCGCTGGTCCGCCGCCACGCCGACGCTGCTCTCCTCCCTGCGCAGCCACGCCAGCGAGGCGCCGCCCTCCTGCTGGAGCTGCACCAATCGGCTGTCTGCGAGGATGCTGCACATCACTGCCCTGTAGCGGGACAGCAGCAGCTCGGCATCCTGGCAAAGACAGAGAAGTTTGAGCTGGTGTCTGAACCTTTGTGAGAACTGAGAGCAGACGGTGTCGTTCACCGACTCTGTGCATGTGATAAAAAAAACATTTTAAAAAAATCCACTTCCAGGATTCATGACCCAGTTACTCAAAACAATCCTAAAAGAACTACTTTCTTGAGCTTTGAGTGCCACTTAGTTTCAGTAAATTCAAAAGAAGGCAGATATCTCTACAGCTCGCTGCTCCCAAAGTTGGACACTGTACACAAAAACAATTCAGACAAACAGGCCGGAAATTAACATGTCAACTTTGGAGTGATGGTGACAAACTAAAGAACATTAAGCAAACAAAACAGTGAGACCAGAACACAAAACTACAAACTGTTCAAGTGAATAAAAACACGCAGAGTGGATTTTAATCAACAGCCTCCTGTTGAAACTGTTCATGTTTTTAATGAGCCCAACTTTTAGACCTCATTTCCAGAAAATACACAGTTTTATATTAAACCCAATTTGTATAACATAAGAACAGGAAATGATAAACTTTACAAAAGTTTTGAAAAAGTTCTGGAATAGAGTGCCATTTGCCAGAAAGGATCAGGAGCACGAGACAGTC